ATACCTGAATAAACTTTACTCATTGGCCTAAACCCGACAAAGTCATTATAATAATAATAATATCTTTATTTACTACAAGTACATGTACAGGGTATACAGGCCTAGCTGACATCAATTATACACAAATAACCTGCACATAGAAGAGAGAAGCTTACGACGACGTTTCGGTCCGACTTGGACCATTTACAAAGTCACACTAACCAGAAGTGGAGCAGGACGGCTATATATAGGCAGGAAGACGTAGTGGTGGTGGTGGTAGTAGTAGTAGTAGTAGTAGTAGTAGTAGTAGTAGTGGTAGTAGTAGTAGTAGTAGTAGTAGTAGTAGTAGTAGTAGTAGTAGTAGTAGTAGTAGTAGTGGTAGTAGTAGTAGTAGTAGTAGTATAGTAGTAGTAGTAGTAGTAGTAGTAGTAGTAGTAGTGGTGGTAGTAGTAGTGGTAGTAGTAGTAGTAGTAGTAGTAGTAGCAGTAGATAGTAGTAGTGGTGAGTAGTAGTAGTAGGTAGAGTAGTAGTGGTAGTGAGTATAGGAGAGTAGCAGTAATAAAGGGTGGCATGAAGTAGGTAGGTAAGAGGAGTAGAAGGTAAGAGTGTAGTGGTAGTGGGAAATAAGGAGAGGAGCCAGTCAAATACAAAGGAAGGGGAGCACTGCAAGAGAGCTAGGTGCCCACAGAGGGAGAGCAAGTGTACAGAGGTGGTGAAAGGGGAAGTGGTGAAAAAAAATAATGAAGGAACAAAACACGAGACAGAAAAAAGAAAGACAACCCAGAGGAGAAAAAGGAAAGAGGAAAGGGGAAAGAGGAGAAAAAGAAAAAGAAAAAGAAAAAATGAGGAGTCAGGTTAAGTCACGGGTGTTCTGAAGTTTGGAGCATTTTACAATGTAGTGGGAGAGGAAGGCATCTACAGAGGCGAAGCCAGGGCTAAGATTCATACAAGGAAAGTTGTGTATTAGAGAGGATTAACTAGACGGCGACTGTTCGAGTTGGAAGTAGGGAAGACAGTTTTAGCAGAAGACCAGTCAATAGGATGGCAATGATCTCTGACGTGACAGAACAGAGCATTGTTAGTGTCGGCAAGCCTAACACTGGTTAGTGTGACTTTGTAAATGGTCCAAGTCGGACCGAAACGTCGTCGTAAGCTTCTCTCTTATATGTGCGGGTTATTTGTGTATCGTTCCAGTCACGGTATTGTGCCTTTTTTTTGTTATTTATTGACATCAATTACATACTGCTATATATAAAGCTCCTTGTTATACTGAGCATTTCGGGCAAATTAGGTCAGTTTTGTCCAAGGGTGCGACCCATGTACCCATTTTACTGATGGGCGAACAGGGACAGCAGGTGGCTTATGTTTTGCAGCCGTACCGGAGGAGAGTCGAAATCCGGACCTCAGTGTGTGAGCTGAGTGCGCTAGCAATCGAGCTACAGGGCCACCATTGGAAGGAAAAACTCTAGGAAGAACTGTGTTGCTTGGTGGAAATTGGAAAAGTTCCCCTTTCTACCTGGCCATCAAAACGAAATGGGGCTTTGTGGGGGTGTCTTCCATCACCAAATCTGAATTTATTTTATTTAAAGTTCGCCGCGGTATTCTCCCGACCCTGGCTTTTCGAAAGTGGTGGGCCGGTTGATTTTTTTAGGGAAGGTGTCTAGACCAAATTTTCCATTGAAAACTGTCCCCCCGGGCCCGACCCAAACTGCCTTTCATGGTCTGCAATGCCAAAAGGACCAATGGGAAGACACTGTGAGCTGTTAATCTTTTTAACTTCAAAGGCACCTACCCTTTTTACCTAAAAAGGGCCTTTGGGGATTGTGGCGTTTTTTGCCTATGGAAATGTGCCGGGGGGTTCTAGAATAACACTTTTGGGGGTTGAAAGTTCCAGGGTAAATTTGGTGTAAGGGTTGGGATAGGGGATAAGGTGGAATTAAATTTTGCAGGGTTTTATTTTTTTGGTTTACAGGGGTGTGGGTGTTATTTAGTAATGACAGATATATACGTTTTTAATAGTGAAGATGACACGTTTATTGTGAGCAGTGATGATGACAGGTATAATATAGTGCCGTAATGGTGACAGATATATAGTACCGTCACCGCCGCAGGAGCAGCAGCCGCAGGTGCAGGAGCAGCAGCCGCAGGAGCAGGAGCAGCAGCCGCAGGAACAGGAGCCGGAGCAGCAGCCGCAGGAGCCGGATCAGCAGCAGCAGGAGCAGGAGGAGCAGCAGCAGCAGGAGCAGGAGCAGCAGCAGCAGGAGCAGGAGCAGCAGCCGCAGGAGCAGGAGCAGCAGCCGCAGGAGCAGGAGCAGCAGCCGCGGGAGCAGAGCCAAGCCGCAGGAGCAGGAGCACAGTCGCAGGAGCAGGAGCAGCAGCCGCAGAGCAGGAGCAGCACAGCAGCAGCAGGAACCCGAGGACCCAGAGAGCCGCAGAGCAGGAGCCGGAGCAGCAGCCGCAGGAGCCGGAGCAGCAGCCGCAGGAGCCGGAGCAGCAGCAGCAGAAGCAGGAGCAGCAGCCGCAGGAGCAGGAACCGGAGCAGCAGCCGCAGGAGCCGGAGCAGCAGCCGCAGGAGCAGGAGCAGCAGCAGCAGGAGCAGGAGCAGCAGCCACAGGAGCCGGAGCAGCAGCCGCAGGAGCAGGAGCCGGAGCAGCAGCCGCAGGAGCCGGAGCAACAGCCGCAGGAGCAGGAGCAGCAGCAGCAGGAGCAGGAGCAGGAGCAGCAGCCGCAGGAGCAGGAGCAGCAGCCGCAGGAGCAGGAGCAGCAGCCGCAGGAGCAGGAGCAGCAGCCGCAGGAGCAGGAGCAGCAGCCGCAGGAGCAGGAGCAGCAGCCGCAGGAGCAGGAGCAGCAGCCGCAGGAGCAGGAGCAGCAGCCGCAGGAGCAGGAGCAGCAGCGCAGAGCAGGAGCAGCAGCCGCAGGAGCAGGGGGCAGCAGCCGCAGGAGCGGGACACAGCCGCCGTCGCCGCCGCCGCCCGGGGCGTCGCCGCCGCCCTCGCCACCACAGCAGCAGCACCCAGCAGCGCAATGTTTTCCCATAATAAAAATCCTGTGTTGCATATTTGCCCATTGCTAAAGTTTTTGACACTGATATGCCTATAACTTATTACTATTATTTGTGTTGGTTCTCTAAAGTCCATCTGTGGTCATTCTATCATGCAGGAGGAGCCGCGTGTGTAAGGTGTATCCAACAAAAACGAGACTCTTGGATGTCACTACCGCCCAGTTCCAGCTGGCATACAAGAATCACTCTCAGGTTAAATAAATCAAACCAAAGCTAATCTAACCTGTTTTGTAGCTTTTACAAGACACAACTTGTAAACCCGACAAAACTCCAGTGATCTGCATGTACAGGGTCGAATTCCAGTGGTCATACAGCGTCTGAGAGATGGGAGGTAATCTGGTTCAATCCAAAAAAGAGGACGTTTTAATTCCTTGGCTCAGGAGCCCTTCGTCAGCACCAATATTAAGTAGGGATGTGATGTATAGACTAAGAGAGAGCTTATTAAGTTTACAAGGCCCAACCAAGACTTTAACACATTCCCTCGTGCATAAAGGGACATAATAATATTACGATACACAAATAACCCGCACATAAAAGAGAGAAGCTTACGACGACGTTTCGGTCCGACTTGGACCATTGACAAAGTCACACTAACCAGAAGTGGAGCAGGACGGCTATATATAGGCAGGAAGAGGTGGGGGTGGTAGTAGTAGTAGTAGTAGTGGTAGTAGTAGTACAAGAATGGTATATAATACCGACAAGGTGAAATTAAGACACATGCGGAACACCCGGGCATCCCTATCGTAGACGTTTCGCCATCCAGCCAGCAACTGGATGGCGAAACGTCCACAACAAAGACAACCAACGCCGCAAATGTGTCTTAATTTTATCATAGTTGTTAGAAGTATAGAAGAAGAAGAGGTATAGTATGGTAGTGGTAGAAGTGGGGAAATAAGGAGAGAGCCAGTCAAATACAAAGGAAGGGGAGCACTGCAAGAGAGCTAGGGGCCCACTGAAGGGGGAGCAAGTGTACAGAGGTGGTGAAAGGGGAAGTGGGAAATAAATGAAGAAGGAACAGAAACACGAGACAGGAGAGAGAAAGACAACCCAGAGGAGAAAAGGAAAGAGGAAAGGGGAAGAGAGAGAAGAAGAAAAAGAAAAAGAAAAAATGAGGAGTCAGGTTAAGTCACGGGTGTTCTGAAGTTTGGAGCATTTTACAATGTAGTGGGAGAGGAAGGCATCTACAGAGACGAAGCCAGGGCTAAGATTCATACAAGGAAAGTTGTGTATTAGAGAGAATTCAACTAGACGGCGACTGTTCGAGTTGGAAATAGGGAAGACAGTTTTAGCAGAAGACCAGTCAATAGGATGGCTATGATCTCTGACGTGACAGAACAGAGCATTGTGCTCCCTAAGTCTGTCAGAAAGAGATCGACCAGTTTCTCCGAAGTATTGAAGAGGACAGGAGGAGCAAGAAATAGAGTAGACACCAGGAACATCTGTAGAGGGAGGAGAGGTATGAACGAGATTAGTGCGAAGAGTGATAGTCTGGCGGAAAGTAAGTTTGATGTCTAAGGGACGGAGAGAATTGTTGAGATTAGAAAGACCGGAAATGTAGGGAAGGCAGAGGATAGAAGAGTTCCCATGAGTAGAGAGTTTGGGAGAGAAGAAATTGCGTTTAGCACGTGAGAGGGCAGAGTCTATGAGTCTATGAGTCGGACCGAAACGTCGTCGTAAGCTTCTCTCTTTTATGTGCGGGTTATTTGTGTATCGTTCCAGTCACGGTATTGTGCCTTTTTTGTTATCTGTTATATTACGATAATAATAATAATAATAATAATAATAATAATAATAATAATAATAATAATATAATAATATAATAATAATAATAATATAATAATAATAATAATAAATTAATAATAATAATAATAATACATAAGGATGATAGTAATTAATATAATAACAATAATGATAATAATAGTAATAATAATAATAATAATAATAATAATAATAATAATAATAATAATAATAATAATAATAATAATAATAATAATACAGAAGACGTAACAACAGTTAGCATTATAATATTTTTTACAAAGTAAGATCAGTTCACGTTATCGAGTTTGCTGTCCACTCACTGATTTTCTTATTATATTACTTTGTGTATCCTTCCGACAGCTACTGTGTTTTTGTTGTTCCTTAAAATTATACTGCCGAGGAAGGGGCAGTCGTTGAAAGTCTCCACACATATTGGTGTCGATGTCTCGAAACGGATCAATGCCACTTTTTTCCCCGTGAAGAATCTGGGACGCATTTGCATTTTTTCACCGGTTTTCTCATCTATTAAACAAATTATGAGTCTAACAGTGACACTCTGTGTTCTTGCATTCAAGTGACATATTGCTGAATACCCTCTTGATATCACCACGGATTCGTCTAGTACAACAACCAGGGCATCGAATATTTTAGCCGTCGTGCAAGGATTTTAAATGTCACAGAGCACGAACCCAGGTTCTATATCTAGTATATCTTACATTCTAAGTCGTACAGTGACGTTGTCACCGCTTTTGACTTCCCGTTATTCGAAGTGATTGTGGCATAATCGTTCCACTTTAGCCCGAGTTCTTGTGGGCATCAGGATCAACATATCACCAACCTTACACGAGCCTTGCTCTACCCTCCCGGTAACCGTTGTGCCTTTGGTGGAACAACCTGTTATTGGAATTCTTAGTGGCCCGCTGATCATCCTTACCACTCGAGGCAAATTATCCAGATGTTCGAGTAGCGTTGGCCCCTCATACCATTAACAAGCCCTAGACATTTTCTGAACATTCTCTCCTGTTAAACCGGAGCATGGGATAAACATTACGTTAACGTCAGCTTTCAACCCAATTTTTTTGCACTCTTCTGACACCTCATTTTTACAAAAGTTGAAACGGTCCTGACTCCACTATGTAGTGCTATCATCCATCTTATTGATTAGCATAACAATATGCGTAATACCAACTGTTTTTATTATCCTTAGAACTTCTCCTGTTTGTCCCCCTCGCTAAAACCCGGCTTCGAACTCGCCCTACCGGGCAGAAATGACCAAAATTGCAACATCGGCTTAATATACTCCCTGAATCATCCGTGGAATCAGTGACATGTGTCCCGGGGCGTCGAGAATCGTGTATTTTTTTTCCATAGTTTAGAAAAATCCTTTTCCAATATTCATTGTGGTCCCTTTTAGCCGTTCCTCGGGAGTGGTATCAAGGGCCCATGAAAGAAACCACGATTCGCGATTGATCTTTTTGGCTTCTCTTCGGTACTTTTCTAGCGTAAATCTGCTGACGTTATTGGTTAAGTACAATATTTAACCTCCAATTGTGGATTTGCCAGAATCCACATGTCCTAGAAAGATGAGGTTCACCTTTTCCTTTTCTAGGGTTGGATTATATGGTGGTTTCTCACTATTATCTTTATTAGATAATGCGAAACCGTCAGTGACAAATTGGGAGTCGCCCTCACTAGGAGACTCCCCTTCGCCCTTACTAGGAGACTCCTCTTCGCCCTTACTAGGCGACTAGTCCTCGCTCTTACTAGGAGACTGCCCTTCGTCCTCACTAGGCGACTCCTCTTCGTCCTCACTAGGCGACTCCTCCTCCTCCTCCTCACTAGGCGACTCCTCCTCCTCCTCACTATGCGACTCCTCTTCGCCCTCACTAGGCGACTCCTTTTCGCCCTCACTAGGCGACTCCTCCTCCTCCTCCTCACTAGGCGACTCCTCCTCCTCCTCACTATGCGACTCCTCTTCGCCCTCACTAGGCGACTCCTTTTCGCCCTCACTAGGCGACTCCTTTTCGCCCTCACTAGGCGACTCCTCTTCTCCCATACTAGGCGACTCCTCTTCGCCATAAGGAGACTCCTCGCCCTCTTACGGAGATCTGTCGATGTACTCAGTAGTCCAGAACTTTCGTCCTGCTGTATACATTACTCTGAAAAATACGTGTACCAATGCAACTAGCGCCACCTTATCAAACTAGAGCAGCACTGAAAGAAACCCGCGTTAACTCGCGTGAAGATTCCTTTTCACGAGTTCCTATAAATCCTCCTAGGCCATACGGACTTTTAAGTAAGTTCTGTAAGCCGTGACGAATGGACCGACTAGGGGCCAGTCACTTTACTAGAACCCCGTTGGGGTGTCACAGGCCCCAGCACCTGGAGGGGCGTTGTAAACGCGCTCAATCCAACTTTACGTTTTACTCAGCTAGTGCCTGTAGTCTGAGCAAACAGTCTCCAGCTGATTGTCCAGCCAACTTTGAACCTTGATAACACTCACGGACAGAGACAAAATAACGTATAGGATTATTCCTATTGTAGTTAAGTTCTTGCTTGTCGTTCTTCCGTTTGTCATTTTCATGCTTCTTATATACGGAGTCAAACGATAAACACTAACACTAGTATCCAGTAACCGTAGTCTCAATTACTTATTTAATAGAACATTTGAAGTAAAATAGTTATCTTGGATTTATTATTATTATTATTATTATTAAAGATTCGCCGGTATTCTCCCGGTCTGGGACTTTTCCAAGTGGTGGCCCGGCTTTGGCTCCCTTTTTAGGGAGTGTCTGAGACGTAAGTCTCCCATGGGAGGACCAACTGTCCCCAGGCCTAGCCACAAGCTAGGCCTCTCTGGTCTGCCATCCCCGCCCCAAGGGGCCTAATGGGAATGACAGTCTTGTGAGCTGCAAGCTCACTTACTTTTACCATCCTATGGAGAGGGAGCATGGACACGGGGGTCGTCCCACAGTTACTAAAAAACAACAGACATAGCCCCACTCCACAAAGGGGGCAGTAAAGCAATAGCAAAGAACTACAGACCGATAGCACTAACATCCCCTATCATAAAAATCTTTGAAAGGGTCCTAAGAGGCAAGATCGCCACCCATCTAGATACCCATCAATTACACAACAAAGGCCAACATGGGTTTAGAACAGGTCGCTCCTGTCTGTCCCAGCTACTGGATCACTACGACAAGGTCCTAGATGCACTAGAAGTCAAAAAGAATGCAGATGTAATATATGTTCTGGCATAAATTTAAAATTGCAGATTCAATAGCCTACATACAAGTTACATGGGCTAAGTGCCTCAAACAACAGATGCATGCTAAAGAAAATTATGGACTAGTGTGGTGAAGAATTTCACAGATTTTTCATCAATAGAAAGTCCAGGAAACTGTGGATCTGGCAAGATAAATGCCAGGTGAGGATTTTAAAGATATGGAGGCAGAAGACATAAATGAATTCTTAGAAAATGAAAAAAAAAAAAAACTACAAGAAAATGATAAAAGTACTCGATTCCCAGATAGATGGGAGGCAAATAACAGATTATTATTATAATCATAACTAAGTACTAAATAAATAACAAAAATGTACAATATTGCGACTGGAACAATCTGCAGTCACAACGAGTGTGACTTTGTAAATGGTCCAAGTCGGACTAAAACATCGTCGTAATTATTTGTGTAAGTGCTAAACCCACAAGGGTCATACACCATAAGATAATAGAAAAGGATGAGGAAGAACCTGAAGCTAAACAGTTGACACTCAAAAGATATATATACATGAGACAATGCATGCTATTGGTAAAGCTGCAGACTGTTTGACTGAGGAACCCTGACTTGTCTACAAGCACTGCTGTGAATCAGGGTCTGGAGTACTGATGCCTCATCATAAGCTGTCTAAAGTACTGCAGGATAAAACACAGCCAGGATGCCTTACAGAATATCCGAGTACCAAGTAACAATGCTGTGTCGATCTCAGCCCAAGAACCACAGCCATCTACCTCAATCCAGTATGACCACAGCAACCCTGTCCAACAAGGTCAAAATCAACCTACATCAGCAGTCAGAATTTAAGGTAGAGCAACATTAATCATAAAATTTAAGGTAGAGCAACATTAATCCTCTCCACACATTTTTAGAACAAGCAATGATATCTACAATTTAAGGTATCAGAAACTATTATTTTTGACAAATTAAGAAATTTAAATGAAATTACTGATTAATTTTTTTTGGCATGATAGAGCCTGATATATTAAATTTGAAAACTTAAATACTTACCAGTAAATGTCTGCTACTTTTTTTTTATTAACACATCAGCCGTCTCCCACCAGGGCAGGGTGGCCCGAAAAAGAAAAACTCTCATCATTCACTCCATCACTACCTTGCCAGAGGCGCACTGACACTACAGTTATAAAACTGCAACATTAACACCCCTGCTTGAGTGCAGACACTGTACTTCCCATCTCCAGGACTCAAGTCGCGCCTGCCAGTTTCCCCAAATCACTTCATAAATGTTACCTTGCTCACACTCCAACAACACATCAAGTACTAAAAACCATTTGTCTCCATTCACTCCTAACACACTCACACATGCTTGCTGGAAGTCCAAGCCCCTTGCACACAAAACCTCCTTTATCCCCTCTCTCCAACCTTTCCTAGGCCGACCCCTACCGCGCCTTCCCTCCACTACATATACTCTTATCTCTTTAAGCATGGATTATAAAACTGATATCTATTTTTCACTATAGATACGAAATTGAATCTAAAAACTGATGCTTCTCACAAATTTTTTTAGAATTCTGGTCAGTTAGATGAAGAAATAATGGCCTACAGGTTTAGTGCTTCAGTATTTTAATATGGTAAGAGATCTATTGGGTTTAGAGAGTTTGCATAAATGGGGAGAAATCAGAGTGGGGAAGCATCAGGAGCGGTGTTCCACAGGGGTCAGTGTTGGGCCCCCTGCTGTTCACAATCTACATAAACGACATAGATGAGGGCATAAAGAGCGACATAAGCAAGTTTGCCGATGACACCAAAATAGGCCGTCGAATTCGTTCTGACGAGGACATTCGAACACTCCAGGAAGATTTGAATAGACTGATGCAGTGGTCGGAGAAGTGGCAGATGCAGTTTTATATAGACAAATGCAAAGTTCTAAATGTTGGACAGGAAAATAACCATGCCACATATAAACTAAATAATGTAGATCTTAATATTACAGATTGCGAAAAAGATTTAGGAGTTCTCGTTAGCAGTAATCTAAAACCAAGACAACAGTACATAAGTGTTCGCAATAAAGCTAACAGAATCCTTGGCTTCATATCAAGAAGCATAAATAATAGGAGTCCTCAGGTTGTTCTTCAACTCTATATATCCTTGGTTAGGCCTCATTTAGATTATGCTGCACAGTTTTGGTCACCATATTACAGAATGGATATAAATGCTCTGGAAAACATACAAAGGAGGATAACAAAGTTGATCCCATGTATCAGAAATCTTCCCTATGAGGATAGACTGAGGGCCCTGAATCTGCACTCTCTAGAAAGGCGTAGAATCAGGGGGGATATGATTGAGGTGTATAAATGGAAGACAATGATGCAAGGAGGGAAGAGTATATTGAGGAAAAAAAGAGAGGTTAAGAGAGTGGTGAAGCAATCTAAAAAGAGAGCAAATGAGAGAGTGGGTGAGATGTTATCAACAAATTTTGTTGAAAATAAGAAAAAGTTTTGGAGTGAAATTAATAAGTTGAGAAAGCCTAGGGAACACATGGATTTGACAGTTAAAAATAGGAGAGGAGAGTTATTAAATGGAGAGTTAGAGGTATTGGGAAGATGGAGGGAATATTTTGAGGAATTGTTAAATGTTGATGAAGATAGGGAAGCTGCGATTTCGTGTATAGGGCAAGGAGGAATAACATCTTGTAGGAGTGAGGAAGAGCCAGTTGTGAGTGTGGGGGAAGTTCGTGAGGCAGTAGGTAGAATGAAAGAGGGTAAGGCAGCCGGGATTGATGGGATAAAGATAGAAATGTTAAAAGCTGGTGGGTATATAGTTTTGGAGTGGTTGGTGTTATTATTTAATAAATGTATAGAAGAGGGTAAGGTACCTAGGGATTGGCAGAAAGCATGCATAGTTCCTTTGTATGAAGGCAAAAGGGATAAAAATGAGTGCAAAAACTATAGGGGAATAAGTCTGTTGAGTATACCTGGTAAAGTGTATGGTAGAGTTATTATTGAAAGAATTAAGAGTAAGACAGAGAGTAGGATAGCAGATGAACAAGGAGGCTTTAGGAAAGGTAAGGGGTGTGTGGACCAGGTGTTTACAGTGAAACATATAGGTGAACAGTATTTAGATAAGTGTAAAGAGGTTTTTGTGGCATTTATGGATTTGGAAAAGGCATATGACAGGATAGATAGGGGAGCAATGTAACAGATGTTGCAGGTGTATGGTATAGGAGGTAGGTTACTGAAAGCAGTGAAGAGTTTTTACAAGGATAGTGAGGGTCAGGTTAGAGTATGTAGTTGAGAGGGAGATTATTTTCCAGTAAAAGTAGGCCTTAGACAAGGATGTGTGATGTCACCATGGTTGTTCAATATATTTATAGATGGGGATGTAAGAGAAGTGAATGTGAGGCTCTTGGCAAGAGGTGTGGAGTTAAAAGATAAAGAATCAAACACAAAGTGGGAGTTGTCACAATTGCTCTTTTGCTGATGAGACTGTGCTTTTGGGAGATTCTGAAGAGAAGTTGCAGAGGTTGGTGGATGAATTTGGTAGGATATGTAAAAGAAGAAAATTAAAAGTGAATAAAGGAAACAGTAAGGTTATGAGGATAACAAAAAGATTAGGTGGTGAAAGATTAGCTATCAAATTGGAGGGAGAGAGTATGAAGGAGGTGAATGTATTCAGATATTTAGGAGGGGACGTGTCAGCAATGGGTCTATGAAGGAGGAGGTGAATCATAGAATTGATGAGGGGAAAAGGGTGAGTGGTGCACTTAGGAGTCTGTGGAGACAAAGAACTTTGTCTGTGGAAGCAAAGAGGGAATGTATGAGAGAAAATAGTTTGTACCAACACTTGTATGGGGTAAAAGCATGGTGATGAATGTTCCCAGCGAGGAGAAGGCTGGAGGCAGTGGAGATGTCATGTCTGAGGGCAATGTGTGGTGTGAATATAATGCAGAGAATTCGTAGTTTGGAAATTAGGAGAAGGTGTGGGATTACCAAAACTATTGTCCAGAAGGCGGAGGAGGGGTTGTTGAGGTGGTTTGGACATGTAGAGAGAATGGAACAGAACAGAATAACTTCAAGAGTGTATAAATCTGTAGTGGAAGGAACGCGGGGTAGGGGTCGGCCTAGGAAAGGTTGGAGGGAGGGGGAAAAGGGAGGTTTTGTGTGCGAGGGGCTTGGACTTCCAGCAGGCATGCGTGAGCGTGTTTGATAGGAGTGAATGGAGACAAATGGTTTTTAATACTTGACGTGCTGTTGGAGTGTGAGCAAAGTAACATTTATGAAGGGATTCAGGGAAACCGGCAGGCCGGACTTGAGTCCTGGAGATGGGAAGTACAGTGCCTGCACTCTGAAGGAGGGGTGTTAATGTTGCAGTTTAAAAACTGTAGTGTAAA